TGTGGAGATAAGGACACATATGTAATATATTATTCAATAAAAAATATATTTTAAAAAAATAAATAAAAATAAAATAAAAAATAAATAAATAATAAAAAAAGAATGTTTTTTTTCACATATAAATTGGAACTTAGATATGCAATAACCAATTAGAAAACCAAAATAAAAAGCTGGTCTGAAGTAAAAAAATTTACCTAAGTCAAACACATACCTGATTATTGATAGTAGTACTAAGAACTTTAAACCAATCATTAATAACAGTGTCATTATCAGACTGAATTAGCAGTTCTGTTCCTTGACGGGTTTTCAGCTTTACAGAAAATGAAAAAGAAAGAAAATTTAAAAAAAGAGAGAGAGTATGGTTAGTGCTTTCAACCAAATAAATGAATACATTTAATTCAAAATCTAAAAAACCACAAGCAGAAGATTAGAAGCCATATAATATACTATGTGATGAAAGGTTTAAGTACTACACAGTAATGGAATATCTCTTATTTTAGTATAAAATAATATCAGCTGAATTCTTTTATAAAATGTAAAGTTTTTCTCACAATAAATTTTCAGTGAAAATCTTAATTTAGGGTCCCAAATTCCATTACACAAATGACAACACTTACTGAAATATAATATACTTTATCATTAAAAAATATGTTTAAGTATCAAAGCCATACATTTTACATTAGAACTGAAACATAATCCATAAAACTTAAGATATTTTTATATAAAACTGAGAAATTCCCCCCCTCTGGTTAAAAAAATAAAGTAGGGGAAAATGTACAAAGAGTTAGACTTCCATTATTTCCTATTTAATAGAAAATAAAATGGCTTAGTACAAAGATAGCACAGATGATATATGTCATATCCTTTTGGGCAGAAATATTACTAAATTTACTAAAGTGTCAAATCATGAACTAACTCAAGTAAGGATACTATTGTATTATGGTATCTGAAGGCAATAACAATTTATGTATAATTTCTTTGTTCAAAGTTTCCTACAATTGCTTGAGGTAAGGTAGTTGAAGAAAGCAATCCTATTTTTTGGTTGATAACTTTTTTTTCCCTACAGGAACTTATGGCAATGTTTCCCAAACAACATTCTAAGACATATGACTCAAGCACAGTTCCTGAAATAATGTTTTAAAAAGGTATTTGACCATTGAATCCTTTTCATTCTGGAATCGGTTATAGGCACTTCAAGGCTAATTCAGAAAATAGTAACTTTCTTCCTTGCATTTTTCTAGAAAGTGGGTCAAGTCAGTCAACTAATAATGAATATTCAGTGTACATAAGAAACACTGTTAGAAGTTCTTAAAGATAAGTAAATACATAGTTTTTCTGCTTAAAATACAAAAAACACTTCATCATCTAGTGGGGAGAATAACTTACAGATGACGACAACCCAAGGTACATTAAAATAAATGCTACTTTAAAGCATAAACAAAGCAGAAGTATCAATATTGTGATAACATTTCTTATGCAATATAGGTAATGTTTGGCATGGGTCAGTACTCAAGGTAAATAATACAGAGTGAAAATCAAAGAGGCAGGAAAACAGCAACTAATCCAGTCTGCCTAGACAACAAGCTAGGAAAGGACTAAGCTAGAAAGGAAGGTTGGGATCTGAAAGATTGTTTGCAAAGAGAGCCTCAAAAATTCTTTCCATCTCTCTATCCATACTCTACAATGTGACTTTTTACTGCTCATCAACTGGTGGACTCTAGTTCCCCACAACCCAGAATACTTGGCTGGCCTTCTGACTTGTGTTCACCAACAGAATATATTTGACATATGACTTCTAAATTTAGGCTGCAAGAAGTCTTGGGCTTTCACAAAGACCCTCTTGGAACCCTGATTCCACCATACAGAGACCCTGGGGTAGCCTCCTTGAGAATTAGAGATCTTGTGGAGAAAGAGGTCTAGAAAACAGCTGGCACCAACAACAGACATGTGAACCATCCAGCCCCAATCAAGCCACTAAGTGACAGAAGACTCATGAAAGACCAGAAGAAACACTCACCTCAGTACCAGATAAATTAAGCAATGTGACTCTTCGTAAGCTACTAAATTGTGGGGGTGGTCTGATATGCAGCAAAAAATGACATTACTGTGCAGGGGTTTTTAATGACAAAATGGAAAGTCTTGATTTTTTAATATTAGATTTCATAGTAAATGAAATCATACCTTTTTTAGTGTTGCTGGGGAAAGGCAAAATTTGTGGAACAAAGGTTTGTAATATATAATGTGAGATCCTATAATTTATGCAAATAAAGCCCAGATCTTCATATCAGCTGTTTTTCTTAATACAAACTGACTTAATGACCAAATTTGACAAAATTAGTTACACTGAAAGGCCATTTCTGAAGTAACTCAAAAAAAGAAGATCCAATCACTACAGTTAAGAATGTGAATTATATTCAGAAAAAAATTTATTACCTCAAATACATTCTTTTTGCTGGATTTATCCTTGGAAGCCATCTCAATCATCGCCCCCTTAAGGTCCACTGTGAATTCTGGTTTGGACTGATTACTCCCAAACTTCATGTTTAGAAAAAAAGAGAAAAAAAGCCTTTATGTGATATTCATGTACATGTGTACATTCAAAAAGAATTAAGACCAACTTTATATTATTAACAATAAATCAACTAGGTGATTATCTCAAATTCTTCTCTTTCTCTATTATAAAATAACAATTGCCACTTTCAAACTGAAAAATATCTGCAAGACATGAATATATGGGTCATAGAAAAGGAAATAAAATGACAACTTCTTTCATAAGAAAAATACAAAATAAAGCCACATTAAAATCTTTTTTCATTCAACAGTGTAGCAAAAAGAAAAAGGAAAAAAAAGTAAGAAAATAAAATACAAATTTTTGATGAAAAACTGTGTTGGTGAGGCTATAGAGCAAGGGTAGGGAATGTCTAGCCTGCGGACCGTATAAGGCCTGTGAAATAATTTGGTATGGCCCTGCCAAGGCATTAGAGGTGAGTTAATTAAATGTTTGACCAAATACAGCAGGCTAATTTTTAAGTTGATAATTTTGTATGGCCTGCGAGTAATATTATGAATATCCAAATGGCCCTTGGCAGAAAAAGGTTCCTCACTCCTGCTACAGAGTATTAACGACCTTCATATGTAAGTGAGGTATAAATTAGAACAACTCCTAGAGAGAAAAAATTGGTAATTCTATAGGGTGTCCAAAAAAATGTACATACACTTTTTTCTGATAGCTCAATTGATGTTTCTTTCTTTTCAGATTTAACCCATTGGAATTAATAATTATTCAAAGCATGTATACATTTTTTTGGGACACACCCTATATATTTACAAATACATATATTATTTGGCTTAGCAATTCCATTTCTTGGCATTTATCCTAAGCTTAATATGACTACGTAAAATGATGTGTTCAAAAAGGCAAGGCAATATGTATATATAAAATATCTGGCAGATATTAAGTACTTTTCTACCTAATAAATATTCTCTAACTACAATTTTGTGATTTCAAGAGTGATTTCCATACCAATTATTTGTTGTCAACAACTACCAATAACTTACAAAATCAGAAAACTCTAAACCCCATGTTCTTTAATTCAGCCTTTGTTAGAAATTATAATTAGAGCCAGATGCTTTAAAGCCTTAGCAATTTAATGAGGAACTGTGAAAATAATAGGAAGACAGTTGACATGGCTGGTCTCAGAAGAAAAAGCATTTAACTAGTATTATATTTTGTTAACCAGATAAGGAAAAGATTAGCAAATAGCAGAAAATCTATGTTAAATGTAGACTTACACTGTATCTTGTTATCATTAACTTAAATGTTGGTTTAGTCTGTTAACTAAGAATGTAAAACAGCATTCCTATGTCACTGAAAGGTTTTAAAATCTCTAAGAACTGATGAACTGTAATCTTAAAGTCATAAAGATTTGTTACAGGAAATTTCATTTGCTAAAATATTTTCAAGTCAAATTAGATTTGCCATTGGAAACAGATATTACCAACCTTGTCATAACTTATTCATTATTCATAATGTCAGTAGTTTCACATTTAATAAATGGTTCAACTTCATCTTTTTCCTTTTTGCAGTTAGCAATGTGGACTTAAATAAGTACTTGTTATAACAAAACAAAATTTAGGATATTATATGGGATTTTTATTAGTGAAATAAAAATAATAAGATTTTTAACTATTCTACAAATTCTTGGCCTTCTTACATACCGTTTGTCATTCAAAAGACATTTAATTAACTATAAAGTTACAATGGACATACAGAACTTTCTGAGCAAAAATGGTAAATCTCAAAAGTTATTAAAACTTAAGTATACACATTTAACAAAATGATAAAAATCCATTTAATTTGTTATTACATGCTCTGTAGATGGTTTGCTACATATAACTTAAGATACAAATAACTAACCAAATAAGATAAACAACTATAAATTCAATAACATGGCATCGAATGCTAGAAAGATGCAGTCAATATATAGTTGGCAAAATCTTGTGTTTGTTATACTTTCTTTTTCAAAATCCAGTCTGACTTTTCTCTACTGTAATCATCCCTCCAATGGATTCATAGCAAAGAAAATAAAATTATTGTGGCAAAGGGTATGCAACAACACATAATAGTGACAGCTGAGACAGGATCAGATTTTACATGTGACTGCAGGCCAAAGACTGACAGAATTTTTCTAAGAAGAAAGTAGTAAATGTAAGAGCTCGGCCAGTGGGCCACATGCAAATACAAATATTGTATTTGTTCCCGTTTTGTTTTTTTACTTCAAAATAAGATATGTGCAGTGTGCATAGGAATTTGTTCATAGTTTTTTTTTTAAACTATAGTCCGGCCCTCCAACGGTCTGAGGGACAGTGAACTGGCCCCCTGTTTAAAAAGTTTGAGGACCCCTGGCTCAGAGAGTGAGCCCTGTTGGCAAAAAGACTTGGTGAAAAAGGGGAAGAAAATTATGATGTCATAACATGGCACAATGGCAAAATGACACACAAGAGAAAAGCATAATGGAAACAGGTAAGACAAAAATACAATTCTACAAGCAAACACAACACAAGCAAAGCTGAACTTCCAAATACTTTTACAAAAACCCTAATTTTATCTCAGAATATTTTCTGACGTTGTTATTACATAAATTCACGTTTTATTTTTAAGATTAGTAATTAATAGAGCATTATATGTTAAACAGGCCTGTGTTAACTGAAATCACACAAAGAACTTGAAGGATAATAGAGAAGTCATCTAAGTTTTCTCCTTGTGATCTGCTGAGCAATGTCCTCTGGTATCCCTTTCTAAGTCCTTAGATGACCCTACCATCTAAGCTGCCTTGCCCTTCCTCTAGGAAAGTAGTTCTCAAATAGAGATGATTTTGCCCCCAGGGGACATTTTTAGTTGTCACAACAGGAGGGATAGATGCTACTATCATCTGCTAATCATCCTATAATGCATAGGACAGCCCCCACAACAAAGAATTATCTGCCCCAAAGTGACTATTTTTAGAAATTTGAAATAATGTATAAATAAATTTGAATATCTACCAATATTTGTGTGAAAATTTTTTTAAATATTCAAGGTATATGATGAATGCTATCTGAGAGGAAGCATATGATACACTGTATTATAACTGTGCATGTATTGATTTTCCCCATTATAATGTAAGCTATGAAGACAGGGACCAAAACCTCAAAATTTAACACAGCCCAGAATATAGCAGGTTTTTATGTCTGTTAAAAAAAATGAGGTAAGAAAAAAGCAAGTGTAATTTACATTACTGATATAACAAACCAGTAAATAACTAATACTTCCCAGAAAACCAGTGGAATGTATCTATCTATCCTTATGGAGAAGGGAAATCTCACTGGATTTTTGGATGACACAACAGCTATGCAAAATGTATCTTATACAGTGGAGTTGCATGCCACATATGTACATTTCCATTTACTCAATTTTAGCTATCCATGGAACCAAAAATAAATACAAAGCATGAATGATTTTTAAGAAACATAACTTCAAATAGTATGGGTGACTTTGCTCATCAATAAGTTTATGCCCTGAAGTAAGTATAAAATTTGAAACGACGACTTCCTCAAATAGATCCTGGTTTAGGTTTTTGCACTGTGTCGATCTAATTTTTAAAGAACTTCTGTAACATAACCCCTTCTCATAAACCATCCAAACTCAACTGAAGGAAAAGCCATCTTTTCCAAAATTAAAGGAAAAAAAATGGCTCTGCTACAGACTGAGTTCTAATATACCATCTTCCAAAGAGATGCACAGGGCAATTTTTATTATAGGTGATTTTTGTCCTTTTAGCTTATATGATAGCACAAGCATCTCATCCTCAGGTAAATCACTGTATAATCAGCATACATTTTACCTACAAAAGATCTAATTGGTGACTGAGCAGAGAAACAAAGGCAGGATTCTTTGAAATCCTTTTTGAATAATCATTATTATAGAGTTAATTAAGAAGCATCTTATCTGGAATTCTGTAACAGAAAAATTAGAAAACAACCTAAATGTCCATCCTTAGAAATAATTATGGAACATCTACATAATGAAATATTATGTAACCCTAAAAAAGATTAAAGGAGATTTTTATGGGCTGAGTGACTTCCAATATATATTGCTAAGAGAAAAAAGCGAAGTATAGCCCTAACCGGTTTGGCTCAGTGGATAGAGCATCGGCCTGCGGACTGAAGGGTCCCAGGTTCGATTCTGGTCAAGGGCATGTACCTTGGCTGTGGGCATATCCCCAGTAGGGGGTGTGCAGGAGGCAGCTGATCGATGTTTCTCTCTCATCGATGTTTCTAACTCTCTATCCTTCTCCCTTCCTCTCTGTAAATAATCATTAAAATATATTGTTTTTAAAAAGAAGTGAAGTATAAAACCATACATAATGTGATAGCTTTTGTCTACAAAAGAAATAAAATGTCAGATATATATTGTATTTACTGATTTTTGAGAGCTTGTTTGGAGGTTCTAGCAGGGAGCACAGCTACTTGTATACCCTTGACCAAAGACCAGTTCTCTCCTGTGGGGGGGCAGTGCGCAGCTTCGGGAGGAACGCACATGGATAGGTGAGGGAGGAGGGGGACCCCCGCCTAGCTAGCCAGATCAGCCGAATCAACACTGGTGATCAATGGGGTAACAGATGTCACAGCCAGATTGGCCTCACATCCTATTTGCTGATTTTTGCAAAATGAAACACAGGAGGAATTAACCAATAACTAATACAAATGGCAACAAAAAAGCAACTCCCTCCATATTTAATCAATTTTTAATACTTATGATTATATATGCCAAAATACATTATACACACACACACTTTTTATTTGAATAATCTTACTTGCTTTTACTTAAGCCATTTAACAATTAGTTTTCATTCCCTTAATGTGTTACATATGGAAAGGAAAAAGCAAGGCTGTCTTGAGATTTTTTTAAATTTCATAAAATAAAAACTCAAAAAGAACCAAGATGGCGGCATAGGTAAATGTATGCACTTGCTGCCTCCCTCAACCACATCAAAATTGCAACTAAAATACAGAACAACTATCATCCAGAACTGTAGGAAAGCTGGCTGAGTGGAAGTACTACAACCAGAGAGGTAAAGAAGAAAGCACACCGAGATTGGTAGGAGGCGCAGAAGCGCGGAGGCGCGGAACGGGCTGGTCCGGCACCCGGGTGTGCCACTTTTTTTAATCGGGAGAGAGATCAGCTCTGCGGAGGCTTCCAGGTGGAGTGAGGGGTCCCAGCCCTACACCAGAGCCCCAGCCCAGGGTTCCAGAGCTGGGGAAAGAAGTCCCTACATCCTTAAGAACTACGGACTGTAAAAACCAGTGTGGATTCGGGTTGAGTGACACAGAGGCTGCTGGAGACCCAGCTGCTCCTCTTAAAAGGTGAACTGAATTTACAAGCTCCCACGTCCTCTGAGACCCAGTGCTGGGCGAGGCTCTGGGGGATCCAGACACATACGGGGAGAAACTGGACTGTCTAGCATCAGGGCAGGAACTCAGGGGCGGCTTTCTTCCAGATGGAGATGCTGGCAGCAGTCATTGTTCCCATGCTGGGACCTCCCTGGTGCAGGGCTGAATGGCAGCCATTTCTGTTTGCTCTGCCCTGGTAATATCCTTAAACCCTGCCCTACCAAATTTATAACCCCACCCAAGCTGTGGGCAGTGGCTTTTGCATATGAATGGTCTGTCCTTTCTTAGGCTAAAACTCTGTCAAAAAAGTTGCAGCTGGGTCAGGGGGCCTCAAACCTATCAATAAAAGGGCCAGGAACCGGCACCAGCACCAGCCTGCCCTGCTTCACAGTTGGGCCTTGACTGGACACTTCCAAACCCGATACAAAGAGGAGGAATCTGCAGAATTGAAGGTCAGATAAAGAGATTCACAGACAAGGAAAAGCTAAAGGAGTTGATCACTACCAAATCAGTATTATATGAAACTAGAGGCCCAATGCATGAAATTTGTGCAAGAGTAGGCCTTCCTTCTCCTGGCTGCCTGCACCAGCTTCCCCTCTGGCACCTGGGACCCGGGCTTCCCTCTGGCCACTGGCAGGCACCCAGGACCTGGGCTTCCCTCACAGCCCTGGCTTCGTCCAGAAGCTCATCCAGAAGGATGTCCAGTCTAATTAGCATATTATGCTTTTATTATTATAGATGCTGAAGTGTATTCTTCAAGAAGAGGAAGAAGAAAAAGGTAAAGATAAAAAATACGAACGTGACAACAAATCCTTATCTATGAACAAGTGAATCTAAAAATAAAATGAATAAAAAATCTGATGAACAGAATAAACTGGTGAATGAAATAGAATCAGGGGCATGGAAATGAAACAGACTGACGATTGTCAGCCGGTAGAGGGTGTGGGGGGAGGGGTGCGGGAAGAGATTAGACAAAGATCTTATATGCATGTATGCATTACCTATGAACACAGACAATAGGGCGGTGAGGGCCTGGGGTGGGGTGGAAACTGGGTGGAGGAGAGCTATGGGGGGCGGGGAGGGACATCTGTAATAATCTCAACAATAAAGATTAATTTAAAATAAAATAGCCCTGCCCTGGCCGGTTTGGCTCAGTGGATGGAGTGTCGGCCTGCGGACTGAAGGGTCCCAGGTTCGATTCTGGTCAAGGGCATGTACCTTGGTTGCAGGCACATCCCCAGTAGGAGGTGTGCAGGAGGCAGCTGATCGATGTTTCTCTCTCATCTTATAAAATATATTTAAAAAAATAAAATAAAATAAAAACTAAAAATCACTACATTACCATGAGTTTTACCATATTCCACATCTGCTTAGCTTTTACTGAGACTATAAAACACAGTGTGACTGTACTTTAATTATACCGATCTGAAATGATTACTAATATTATATTAATAAAATTTCATGTAAAGGCAAAAATTCAAATAGTGAATCTCCACAGGTAAAAATTCATAAGAATTTTACAATTTCAATATTGGCTAGCTCAGTGAATTTTAAACTATGTTTCTGCAATTGCAATTAATTGTAACTAATGCATATTAAGCATTCAAAAAGTAGTAGGTATTATGTCAAAAATTATACTTTTTAGAATTTGTACTACAAATAACTGAGGAGCAATAATAGTAAACACTCAAATATACAAAAAGCTTCAAAATGCTACAAGTAATGGTGACATTTCTTTCTCTTCTAAAAGCTGGCTGACATTATATACAGACATGGACACCTGAATCACTGACTAGTATCTAGGGGTCAGTTCAAGGTGGAGCTTGGCACATTACTGCTTATTTTCTGATTAAATACTTGAAACAGCAAAGTCACAAATAGAGAAGAGCTTTAACATCCTGAACATGAATCAAGAAATGTACTAGTATTTGTTCTATCATGCCTAAATAGTAAGCCCACCTTTCAGTTCAATGGATAAAACATAATTTGTTGATTTTAAGACATCATCTGTACACTGCAGTGTCTTCACCACCCAAAGTCAAGTCTTCTTCTGTCACCATACATTTGGCTCCCTTTATCCTCTTTCACCTCCCCCCACCTCCTTTTCCCTCTAGTAACCACCATACTGCTGTCTGGGTCATGAGTTTTTGTTTATTTGTCTAATTTGTTCATTTGTTTGGATGAAATCATATGGTTCTTGACTTTTTCCATCAGACTTATTTCACCTACCATGATATTTTCAAGGTGTATCCATGTTATTGCAAATGGCAGTATTTAATCTTTTTCATTTACTTTTTTTTCACATTAGCTATAGTTAGAAGGACTATGGAATACTTCATGAACTTCAGGTACAATACTATTGACATATTTTGAATGCATAAAGCCTCCAAAGAAAAGAAATACTTACCCAACTTGTGCTACTTCCTTGAGTTTTGGTAAAGAGTAAAGATGAACCCTGCAACACGGCCCAAGAAGACAACCAGTTCTTTCTGTAATTATAAAGATGACCAATTAAAGTTCAATTCCCTAGTTTTTCCAACCAAACTTTAAAAATGAAACACTATTTAGTGGTTAATCAATGTTGTCCAAATTTACAGTCATTATTGACACTCTAATTGTTTTTATTAGGGATATAAAGCTAATGAAAATTACAGTAATTTCATTATCCCAACCTGACCTAAAGGCCCCAAAATAAATGAAGTTAGAGATATAGTTTATCAGAATAACTATATATCTAATTATGCTTATAGGGTACTAATTATAGGACTCTGAATATAGAAATATATAAAGGAAAACCCATTTATTCTCATTCAATCCATACTCCAGAGGTAACCATTGTTTACCTTATAAGGGAATTCAATCGCTGACAGGTTAAAGTAAAATGTTAAATATGTCTACTACAGAAATTTATTAAGACTTACTGTACAGCCAAACATGTGGCCAGTTTTGTGAAAACTCTACAGGCACTCAAAAAAAAGGTTTATTCTCCATTTTCAGAGTGTAGAATTTAATATCAATCAATCAGACCTACATTATTATTTTATTTCTTTTTATATCTACTTAAACTTCAAGGATTAAGAAAAGGGAAATATAGTTCACTACTACTTAGTCAACTAATATTTGACAAGAAGACTCAATGGAAAAAGATAATTTTCAATAAATGGTGCTGGGATACTTGAATATTCATACTTAAAAGAATGAAGCTAAATCCACAGCTTACACTACTCACAAATATTAACTCAAAATAGATTAAAGACCTAAATGTAGGACCTAAAACCATGAAACTTCTGACAAAAACATAGAATAAAGCTCCCTGATGTGAGTCTTGGTAATAATTTTTAAAAATATGACACTTAAAGCACAAGCAACAAAATAAAAAAGTGGGACATCAAAAAAGCTCTACATAGTGAAAGAAACTATCAACAAAGTGAAAAGACAACCTACAGAATGGGGGAAAAATTTACAAACCAGATTCCTGATGAGGGGTTAATATCCAAAATGTATAAAGAACTCACATAACTCAACAGCAAAAGCTCATATAACCAAATGAAAAAAAAAAATGGTCAAATGACCTAAATAGACATTTCTTCAAAGAAGATATACTAAAAGCTAACAGGCACATGACAAGATGCTCAACTAGTCATTAGGAAAATTGCAAATTAAAACCACAATGCGATATCAACTCAGACCTGTTAAATGGTCATCATCAAAAGATAAGAAGAAACACCCTGACCGGTTTGGCTCAGTGGATACAGCGTCGGCCTGCGGACTCAAGGGTCCCAGGTTCGATTCCAGTCAAGGGCATGTACCTTGGTTGCGGGCGCATCCCCAGTGGGGAGTGTGCAGGAGGCAGCTGATTGATGTTTCTCTCTCATCGATGTATCTAACTCTCTATCCCTCTCCCTCCCTCTCTGTAAAAAATCAATAAAATATAAAATAAAAAAAAGATAAGAAGAAACAAATGATGTGAAGAAAAAGAAACCTTGTGCACTGCTGGTGGGATTGTAAATTGGTGCAGCCACTATGCAAAACAGTATGGAGGTTCCTCAAAAAACTAAATATAGAATTACCTTATGACCCAGCAATTCCACTTCTGGGCATGTATCCAAAAGAAACAAAAGCACTAACTCAAAAAGATATTTGCTCCTTCATGTTTATAGCAGCATAATTTACAATTGCCCAGACAAGGAAACAACCTAAGTGTCCCCTGATGGATGAATGAATAAAGAAGTTGTTGTATATATACATATAATGGCATATTATTCAACCATAAAAAATAAAAGGAAATCCTGTCATTTGTGACAACATGGATAGACCTTGAAGGCATTATGCTAAGTGAAATAAGTCAGACAGAGAAAGACAAATACTATATGATCTCACTTACATGTGGAATTTTATAAACAAAACAAAACTCATAGAAAAAGATGCAGAAGGTGAGGAGGAAACTGGCCTTGCAGAACTTGTTATCTAAATGCAGAGGCCATGGAAACAATGCACT